CTCAATACCATTTCAGTACCCTTTTCCAAAGTGACATATATGATTTTATGTGACAATCTGCAATTTAGATATATTAGAAGTGCCCTCTTATGAAGAACCTCCTTGGCGATTTATTTTCTCAGATAATTCCAAACAATTCTGGTCTAAACATCTCTAGAACCAGTTTGTAAATATATATATATATATATATATATAAAGCTTATGCTTTTATATGGGATTGATTTTCCTTTCTTTATTCTTCTAAGAGTTGTATGGAAACACCAATATTACATATAAATCTGTCTTCTACAGCCTGTTGCTGATGTGTCCATCTCTGCCTTCATGGCTGAATGGCAGAGCTTTGAGTACATCCCGAAACATTTAAGATTGTTTATACTACTGAAAAAAAACAAAAAAAAACAAAAAAAAAAACACCACACTCTAGTTATACAAGGCTAGATTACACATGTAAAATACATTGCTATTTACGCATAAAATGTTTACAAAAGAATTACAGAGACAGTTGCATTGATGTTCACAGGCTATTTTTCTGATCTTTTATGAATGCGATAACTGTAAAGCAAAGAGGTTTTGAAAGACAAAATACATTTTACATGTTTTTCACTTACAAATACAGCCAAATCAGATAAGAAATATTTTCCATTGCTAAACTGTGCCAAGTATGTTAACTAACAGTACAGTTCATAGGGGTCTCAACTGAAAATAGCTGTTCTAAATATGTGATCAGATTACATTTGCAAAAGCACAGTGAAAGCTACCTGGAAAGGCTGCCTTTCATTTTAAATTGTAATGTTTTCATACAGTGTCACATATACTGGTTACTGCTTCCACTTCCCAGTGGGTCTGCTTCCTTTCTCCCAGAACTAAGGATTAAGCAGCAATTCCCAGCATTTTGGGGCATACAGACCAGACCAATTTAATTACAGTGTATGTACTGAAGCTCTGATTGCTGCCTCTTGGTTGGAAGTACTGAGCAGAATTATAGATTGCTCATTTCTTAGCAAGGGATTTAGGATTAAATACACAAATAGGGAAAAGCTGTGTCCCTGTGTTTGAATCATCCTGGTCATCCATTTGCTAACTAGAAACTGCTGCTCCTCTTCATGCACATATGAGTAAGAAACGTGACCACAGATATCCTCGCTGTGACTCCACACTGACACATTGCACTCTGGTAGTATTTCTGCAGAGGAAAACTGCAGCTCCAAGAGGAACACAGGATAACTCCCCTTCTCACCTCTCAAAGAGTTAGAATTCTCCATCCCAACCCAGCTGCTGCAATCAGCATCAGCAACACCTTCCTCCAACACAGGCTGAGGAAACTACATGGTTAGTCACAATTCACAGCTGAAATCACCACCTGTAAGCAACTGATTGTTGTCAAATAGCTACACAGCGGGATGCTAACATGCCACCAAGGCTGTTTGGCTGGGAAGCTGCTTGTTGGGGCCTTCTGGCTTTTCTCCATCAGGTTGCTCTCCTGCGGTGGTCCTGCAACAGCATGTGTGCAGGGACACTGCTGAGATGAAAGAGGGTAGCGTGGTGGGTCCAAAATCGGCTCCAGCAGGTGGTAAAAGAGATCTGATCGATTACATGGAGTGTTTAAATAATCTCTTGATAACCCTTTTCTGTACGTGTTTTTGTTTAAAACTCAGCAGCATCAATGGTGCTCAGAGACTGAGGAGGAAATGAAAGCAGTGAGCTGTCTATCCATCAACACATTGTTCTGCTCAACCACAGGCTGTTGTTTTTATTAAGAGCAGCATCTTACATAATTACAAATCTTGTTGTCTTGTCTTTTCCTAGAACACTGTGTTTGAAAAGCTGAACAGAAGCTTTGGGGAGAGCTCAACATTGAGAATTACCAACACACCTGCTGCCTGTTTTGATGTGAGCACCAGAGTACAGTGAGATATAAGAACCAAGGTTAGTGTACAGAGTTTTGAAATCTTATAGGGCAGTTGGCACTGGGCTGCCTTGTTTCACAGACTTGGACAATGAGATGCCCAGGCACGGGTGGCCTCTGGTTACTATCTGCCCTTGGGTGCAGCTGCCATGCAAGTGATGAAGAGTAAGAGCAGATTTGCAGAGGTGACCTTTTTCTCATTCCCAACGTCACAGACAAACGTGTGGTGTAATAGGCTGAAGAAACTCTTAATGCTGCCTTATAACTCACTTGAATGAGCAGGGTAATTTTTCTGCTGACCGGTTTTCCCAGGATGGTACTACACCTCCCTTGAAGGCAGTGCTAAGGGTACATTGTGTGATTGCTGCAGCTCTGTTGGTGCTATTTCTTCTCACTTTTGTGCACATTTGTGTTTGTTTACCTGTGAAATCCAGCTTAGCCTCTTGAGCTCCTTACACTGAGCCCAGTCACGCCGCATCCAAGGGAATTATTGGTACCTCTGATTGGATTCATTTGATCTAACTTTGGACTTTTCTAAACAAGTACAAGGTTTTTATCCAATCTTTTCACTCTGAACTCCCTTTCCAGTCAATAGAGAGAAAGTCTCAGTATGCTATTTATTTGACCAGCAGGAAGTTGGAACTAAATGATCTTTGAGGTCCCATCCAACTCAAGCCATTCTACGATTCTATGACTGTGCTATAGAGAGCTGGGTTCCCTCCACTGACTCTAACTCTTGTGATACCAGCTCAAATGCTGCCTCTCCTCCTGCAAGTATCTCCTTCAGGTACATAGCCATGGAGTAGAATGGGAGTATTTTCCAGATGCATCTTTCTTCTTTTCTTATACTGTCTGAAAAAAAGTCTGTTTCCTGAAAAACATTTTAAGTTATTTTGCCATATCACCCAACAGATCACTTGTCACTTCTTAAAGAATCCATAAAGTATCCCATCTGGGCTTTTTGCTTCATCAAAACTGAAATATTTCAACCCTATACCCTTCTTTCCCCAAGGTGAAATTAAGTCTTCCAAAATTTTCTGTGGGTCCTTTATGATTTTAGACATGTTGTCTGTTTCTTAAGTAACTTTCAATAACTTTTTAACTCAGTTCTGATATCAGGTTGTGTTTGTTGTTGTTGTTTTGTTTCTTTGTTGCTTTCTTATTTGTTTGCTTTTTTTTTTTTTTTTAATACCAAAATCACACGTAAATCTCCTCAGAACAGAAATGTTTAAAGCTATGCTCATAGTTTCTTCTCATAGTAGATATTTGGCAGTTTCTTTTCCTGACCGTAAAATATAATTGCCACAGTTCTACACACTTTATTGCTTTTCTCACAGTGATTCTATTGTATTAGTGCCAGAGCTTATTCAGTTTTCTCTTTTAGGATCACATTTTTCCCACGTATAATGATACCTTCCTTTGTGAAATGCATTAAAATATCATAAGGAAGGTATCTTGTCTAAGTTTGAATAAACGTAACTCAATGCACCCTTGTTTTCCAAGGTTTCTCACCCAGCTCTGCCTCTTCTGAGAACTATCATGAAGCACTGACCTCTAGCAAAGTATTTCCCTGTAGATCAGTTTACTTCCTATTTGATTCAGTCTCTTTCTTTGGAAAAACATAGTGCTTTTTTCATCCTTAGAATCCTCCTCCATTATTAACTCTGCTTGTTTCCTAGTCACATCTTACCCATGCAGGCTGTGGTGGGATTACTTAAAAGTGAGAAAACAGCTTTTCTGTATTGAACTACACTGCTGTACTGGTGGGAGAAGCAATTACGTTTAATAGAAGCTGTGGTTTGCTATTTGAGGTGTATAGTAGTCTCACTGGAGATATTATGCTGAATCTTACATGCAGATCTGTTACATGACAAAACTCTACAACTGGTGCATGCTTTCTAATGTTAGAAGGCTTTAGAGGACTTCCTTTTCAATTATTAATCAAATTGTTAAGCGTGGTGTGTTTTCTGCACCCTGAACTGTGCTTTAGTCTTCAGTGCAGCCAAATTAATGTTGCTATCAAAATTGTAACTTTGCACGGGAGAGATTTTTGGTGTGTCAGATTCACACGATTATCATAAGCATACATTCACTAGCTACTAACAAGCTAACCAACACCACTTTTCCTTTCTGTGGGCCACTTCTGCATCAGGAGTAAATCTGCATTAAATCAGCTGACAGGAATCCCACCAAGTTACGATGACCACATTTATCACGTTCCCTCCATGTTTTGCGTGCAAGGAATCACTTGATTTCCTGGTGATCACATCTGACATTGGGCAAGGGAGGTGAAGAGCTTGAGTTTCGAAGTTCTTAAAATGTCTCTTGCATTCTATGCCTTTCACATCCCTATTTTCCCTTTCTATTTATTCTTTTTGCTTTCAGTTAATCATATTTTAATGAAAGGTATAACTCAGAAATTTTCTTTCATCTTTCTCTCCAGCTTCCACAGACTAAAACCCAGAAAAAAAAAAAAAGAGTTTGGAGCCACCATGACCCTTTCAAAATAATGTACTCCCATGAACCAAATAAAGTCTAATTCCTAAGTCATGCTGCAGACCCTAAACCCCTCACACAGGACACCTCCTTTATCAACATCTATCTACATCAACATCAAACCAAGTTCTGTTCTTACCTTATAAATTGATTTTGGATGCTAGTCAATCTCCTCAAGCCAAACTACAGACTGTTGGCTTTGGCTCAGTACTGTTGGCTGACACAGCTCTCTATCATGTCCTAAAAGTGTTAAGATAGTTCAAACTTCCAAAGATGGTATTATCTCAGAGAAGAGTACAGCATCCTCCCAGAGGATTTACTCTTAGAAAGCTACTTTAGGTTAAAGAAACATCTTACATCTTCCCTATCAGATGATAGCGAATCAACAGCCCCATTGATTATGAAAATAGAAAGACTTGACATATTAACTTTACGTGGCATTGGTTAATGATTTTGCATTTCTCCCACTTTAAGCAATCAAAATAAATCAGCCTCCTTCAGTTCTACTAATATCTTTATTTTGTTGTTTACAGTTCTATATCATTTAACTGAGCACTATGACATTTTGGTTATAAAGATATAGGAAAGTCTTACATTTTTCAAAAAATTATGGAAGCCCTTTCAGTGCTTTTTGGTTCAAAAATATATATATTTTTAAACCTCTCCAAATGCTGGAAGTGAATTTTGCAGGACACTGTTCACTGAAGAGTGGCTGTGGTAAATCAGATGCAAAATGCTTCTCCCCTTCAGTACACTACATCCATGATCAGTGCAGTGAAGACACTGAAAATACTGCACCTAAGAAAAATGAAAAGAAAAATTGACGTGCTAAGAGCTACAATACAAAGAACCACTGAGATGCAGTTTCTTTAGAAAACATTTTGCAAATAAAATAAAAATAGTTTTAACTGGTATGTGCAAAAGAATCTCAAAAAGAAAGAACCAACTAAATCAAACCTCTTTAGGTGTCCCTAAGGATATCTCACTGCACAGATTTTTGTTTTTTTTAAAGTGTCTTAATGTGAAAAGTAATTGGCAGAGGAAGAAGCAACACAGGACAATTATTTAATCAATTGAGGTCTATCTACTTGGTATTAAGTTCAAAGTTATAATGACATCGAATTTACCTCAAAAGCAGCAGGTCAAAATTAACTTACTTTATGGCAACTACAATACCTTCATTTATTGTATTTGTGCTTTTACAGAGAGCTGGCTTAGAAACTACAATTCTGTGTGCTAATGTGCATGGAAACTCTATTATGCAAGAAGAACACAAGTAAGTATATTTGTGATTTAAGGGATTTGCTAAGGGATCCACCTCCTAACTCACCTTTAACCAGAAGGTCATGCAATAACAGCCAAATTATTCTGACCCTTTGCTAAATTCAACATATTTGCTCACTGGTTGACTATTACTTTATATGCCATGACCACCTCCAGTCTATTCTACTAGCTAAGATCTGGCACACTGATTACAGCAATTGAATACAGACCTGACCACTCAACTAGAGAACTATTCATACACACCTGTCTGATGCATATAATACAATATAATGCATAGTTTGAGGTGATTCACTTCCCACCTTTATTATTGTACTCATATGTAATTTGTGAACTGTGCCAATAAAGGCAAAAAAAGTTCACTGGTGGTGTTACATGGTTGTAAACTTGATACCATCTTTTTCCTCACCAGTGTAAATGCAGCTAACAACTTCATCTTGTACTGCAAATAAGATTGATTTATTATGCAAATCAAAACCACTCCAGTGGATAACAGTGAATTCTCTTTTATGCAACTAGCAGGGAAAAACATGTTTCAAATGTGGAAGAATTATGTGGTGCTGAGATTCTGCTAATGCTAAGGGCAACCTTTGACTGTGCACAGTATGTAGAGACTTGCTCCCAGGAGAGGAGCTATCAGATGCATGAAGACTGCAGGATGTGGCCCCAGCTTCTTTCCAAGCCATGTGGGATGTACTGCTTCCAAACCCACAGGCTTGCTTCAGCTACTTCACACTGTGCAAAAACATCTGTTTTCAGTGACAGCACAAGCCCTGACCAGATGCTTAACTCTTAGATGTACCTATTTTAAATGAATAAAATTGAAACAACTAGTTCCCTGAAAAGTCGTATCTAGTGGGGCTGTGACACCCTATATTTCTTGTTCCCATTCACTCTAGTGTGAATTCTCTGATGTTGATGGAATGCAAATACTATTACATTATTGAGTACTTCAGAATGGAGTGAGTACACACTGCAAACCTACAGTGTTTGTGTTCCAAAGTCTGTAGTAGGTTAGTACATGAATATCTCTGATTATTTCTAGCACCTGTAATTAATCCTCCAATTGCAGTCTGGTATTTAACGAATCCACAGAAGCCAAATAAAGAAGGAACAATACATCAGCGTATCTGAAATATCATGAAAATAATAGTATTGTTTGAACTCTCTGTGTTTAATTCCTTCTTGCAGATACTGGCTCAAACATCTGTCTTCATACTGTTGCAGCAGATATGTAAGGTATGCAGATATGCCACTCCACTTACATGGTTGACAATTTCACTTTTGCTTGTTTTTTTTTGGCTTCCACCAAGAGGATGCGTTGTGTTGGTGGTTGGACTAGATGATCATAGTAGTCTTTTCCAACCCTAAAGATTCTGTGGTTCTATGTCACTAAGGAAGAACGAGGAAAGAAAAATATTGCTTACATATGTGGAAGCTATTTTTAACATTCTATACTGAACAGGTAAGACATTAAGTTAATTTTGTGAATGCCACTTAACTGAACTTGAAAAAATGAGTTATATACTAGTCAGGTTCTACGAATGATATTTGTAGAACCTGACTAGTATATAACTCATTTTTTCAAGTTCATAACTCATTTTTTCAATGACAAGCTGAGTCATTTTTGCATTAAGTGTATTTTAAAGAGTTTTATAGATATACACTGTTCAATTATGGAATATTTGTTATAATGTTCCATGTTATTGTTGAAATACACAAATACATTAGTGACAAAAAGGGGAGGTAAGAGGCACAGAAATCTATTGACATCAGAGATGAAATACATGTAGAGGTACAGGCTAGCTACTTCACTACATACAGTACCTACAGAGAAATGTCTTTGTTTGTTTGTTTGTTTTCCAGAGAAAAGGCAGTTTGGAAGAATGCTGAAGAGCTTGAAGTCATTTAAATGTAACATACCTACTAAAATACACATAGCGATTAATGTTATTGTGATACAAATTGACTAGCTTGTAAAAAAAATTGTAGGACCACTGTTGAAAGCCACTGTGTTTTCCTTTGCTCCTCCAAATTAATATCCTACAGAAACAGAATAGTAGTTGAAGAAGATTTCTACATTAATAGCATTATGGTTGTGGTAATAGTAACTGCAATGGCAGCTGCATAAACAAAATGTGGGAATGAAGAAAAAGAAAAGTTCATTGTAAAACAGGAAGCAAAGGCATCAAACAGAAGGAAAAAAAAGAACAGATGGGAATCCTGGCTGAGGTAGAAAAGTTTGAGGTTAATATTTAAAACATGTCCTCACTCTGCATGTTTTAAAGGTGTCCATTTCCTTCACATGGGTACACTAAGCAGAAACATGTAATATCCCTCACAAAGGAAGAAACTCGTAGACAGCAGTTGTCTCTCTTTTCTGCTTAACAGCTGCAAAATATCATTCTTCTCTGTACTCTCAAAGTATTTATGTACCTTTGAACTCTTCAGAAGTAAACAGGGGATTTGAAACAGGGGAGAAACTAACATCATTTATGGGGACATGATTTGTTAATGTCACATTGTGAAGAAAATTAAGGGAAACTTTGAAGAATTATAATTTTAGGCCCTGTTACACATCACAGGATATATTAAACTTGAGTTTGCAGATTACAAGCAAATTAGAAGAGTCACCACCCTTGGCCTGATACACCTTGGCAAATGATGATATTCAACAAGTTACCTCACACAGTTTTACACAAAGAAAATTCTTTGCAGACAGCAGTAGTATTTATGAAATCTCTTCCATGCCAGTGATATGACTAGAACTTGAATAAATAAAACCAATGAAAATATCCACTAGGAATAGCAAAGCTGTAAAATATTTTTTCCACTGGGTGTTTACTTGGCTTACTCTTATTTGGAAGTATATCTAGTTAAGAGGCAATTCCAGATGTACATAAGAAAAGATTTTCATTTCCTTCCCACCCTTCCACCTCCCTGCCAAATAAAAAGACATTTTAAGTATTTTAAGTACATTTAAGTTAGAAGGCTTTGTTTTCCAAAATATACATGTGTCTTCCTCAGAAAAAAACCCAAAACAAAACAAAACAAACAAACAAACAAACAAACAAACAAAACCAATGAAGCTTCTTCGGAACTTCCTGATGTATTGTGTAACAGCCCTGAGGTGTTCCTAAATTCATCTCTCTACCATGGAATACAAGAAGCCCAGCTTGTTCCTGTGAGGGACTACCCTGTTATTAAGCTATTCAGCTGTAATGAACAGAGTTAAGAGGTCAGCAGAAACTGGCCAAGGTTTAAATGCTGATGGACATTTTCCACCACCTCTGTGAAATTCTGCTACTGGATTTGATCAACCTGCAATTTTATTGGAGCATTCTTCTTTACAAAGTGAACAATTTAGGGATTATTCCTGGTAGCGTTGCTGCAGAATTCATGTCCTTTTCTGCAGGCCAACTGAATTTAACAAACAAAGCAAAAGCAAAAGCAAAAATTCATGTGACAAGTTTAACTGACCTTAATAGAGAATCACATTTCTTCTTCAAGAGTCATGAATTCCTCTAGAAGCAATTCAAAGCTAATGCAACTTTTGAAGTGAAGTCATTATTGTTAAGTGTTTACTAAGTAGTTATTATTTCATCCCTATGCTATCCAACAATGTATTTTCCTCATTGGATTCCTCATGGGCCACAGAAAGCATCACCACATTTGTACAAGGCTCATATGCAGGCCACAAATGCCTTGACAATGGTGAAGAAGGAGCACTGCTTCCCCTTCTTCTGAGCCTATTCAAATCTCACATGATCATAGAAGTGAACTTTCCTGGTCTCTGCAGAATGCTTTCAGCTTATGTTTATGTTTAAACTTATGTTTAACAGGTTGACCATCCATAAACAGAACATATAGAGCTCCACAGTAATGGGCTAAACTGGTCATTCGCAAAAGACTTTAAACAGAGACCCTGCACTGTCTGGACAGAACATCGAGGACCCTCTAGATAAACAGTGAGAAGTTCTGGAACTAAGTTATGCACTTTAACATATTGTAGTTGCTTTTAGTTGACGTTTTAATAAAATATTTTATCCAAATACTACCAAGATAATTTTACAGAAATTACAAAACCAAAACAGCAAAGCACTTCTTATAGATAACTTCTTGTAGACCTGTGCAACAGTACATTCTTTATTCATACATGCTGAGAGAAGAAAACTTATTTGAGTCCAAGATTTTGAGTATCTCTGATGATCACCTCCCTGGACTACCTGCTCCAGTTCATACAGTTACACCAAGGCATCAAAATCACAGAATCACAGAATCATTAAGGTTGGATTTAAGATTATCTAGTCCAACTCCAGCCCATCCCCACCATGCCCAGTGACCATGTCTCTCTGTGCCACATCTCCACGTTGCTTGAACACCTCCAGGGATGGTGACTCCATCACCTCCCTGGGCAGACTGTGCCACTGCCTCACCACTCTTTCTGAGAAGAAATTTTTCTGGATATCCATGCCTGATTGAAGCCCATGCTCAATCAGGGCCTTTCTTTTTTTTTTACCCAAGCTGCATGTCTTCCCTAGATAGCAGCTGAGCCTTGGAAGCTTGCTTATGCCTTTCTCCACCCAAGCAGGAGACCACCAAAATAGTCAACCTACTCCAAGCAAGCAGGCTTTTCTCCCCAGGTTCAGTTTGTTGTGGTCAGTTGCTGGGGATGGCCCTGTCCCACCCTACAAATGCAATGCCCAACTCCAAAGACATATCACTCAGCACGTGCCTTGGAAACCCAAACCCTGTGCTCTCCAGTTGCACTTGTGTCTCCTATTTTGAATGTAGATGTGTGCCTGCCAACCTGGAAAACATGGGAAAGGGGAGTGCCTGACTGTGCCCCTCACAGACCTCTGGAGACCTGAAGCCATTTGGACTGGGGGTATTTATAGAGAATTTGGTTATTGAATCTAAGCAAGTGTCTGTCCTCGTTAAAGTCATGATATAGAACAGCTCCTAATCTTGCAGAGGTAAGCATTTGAGATTACAAAAAAAAATACTGAGTTTGAGAAAATGTCAGAAGTTGTCTGACATGCCTCATTTTTTTTCCCTTACAAAGAATTGGTAGATTTTGTGACATTATTAGTCTGTTTTCCACTGCATGTGACAATCATTAAAATTAATATACATTTATAATCCATACTTAAAATAGAAAATGCCTACTTGGGTTATGCACATACAGCCTATTAAGCTCTGAACTGCTTGCTGGTTAACACATTTTATTATATTCCCAAAGATTTAATTCTACATATGGATCAAAGAAAGGCAGGTAATTCTCAAGAGCAAAAACATCTATAGAGAAAATAGCAAAAATGAAAGCTGTACTCTTACAGGTTCTTGTTCATGCAAAGCCAGGTTTCCTTCTCCGAGGCTCATACAGATTTCCCACCCCATTTATTTTGGGATGGGGAAGACTGACAGGATAATAATTCTCTTTGCTCTGTCATGGTCTTGGAGCATCATTCCAAGCTAAAGAACCTTCTAGGGAACGGAGAAATTCGCAGAGACCCTTGGTCCAAGCAGATAATAAGCGAGCTGCCAAACTCCTCAGAAACCATTAAATAAGATTGGCCCTCAGCAATCAGTCTTACATAGTGACTAAATCACAGCCTCAATACAGAAAATGCACTCATCAGAACTCAACTGGACTTATAAATTTTCTTTCTGAAATAAAGAATTAACTATGTTGTATGCCTTTCAAAGAGCTTCCATTCAGAAGTCTTTAACTGTATCTCCCCTAACATTCTTTCCTTCATCTCCTGGGTTTCATTTGCAAATGTGTTCTTGATTATAAGAAGAAAGACACTGCCACACATAAGCTCAGCAGCCTATTGTAATCACAGCTGTGCCAACAGGGGAACACTGGAGTTCCTCGCACAAATATGAGACGCAAAAGTTTGTACACACTAAATTCCTCTTCTGCAAATCACCGACCTTTTTCAAAATGTCCCTTTTATTGCCAAACAGAGCCAAAATAAAATTTTAAAAGTGAAATAAAGAAGAGAGGATAAATGGAATGGGATTCAACATGTGGCTTCAAATATAAAATAACTATTTTACAATCACATTTAAAGACATCTTTATTTAATGTTTTTCTTCAAACTTGCTCCACATTTAACTTCTACAATGTATTGCGTCTGATTTCCTGACCAAATTATAATTTGCAACAAATTTATGAAGCACCAGATCTTTTAACACTGTGAAAAAATGTATTAGTCTTCCTCTCAAATGTTTTTCTTCTAGTAACACATTTACAGGCAGAATCAAGAAAGCAAATCACTTATATCCAGATACCGTATTAGAATAAGTCATTCGTAATTGCATGAACACATAAACTGTGCAAAGAGATTTTTTAATAGAAATGAAGTAAAATTTTCTCCACTGCTGCTTCTGTAAAAGCACTGTATTGAGCAAATCCACTCTTCTAATTCACTCAGGCCTCACTCAGATCCAGACAACAACCTCAAATTATTGCTGCAGACAATCTGGCAATGCGAGTTTTTGTGGTGAAATTTAGAAATGCAGATTCTCCTCAATATTTTTCATATTGAACAAGAATGAATTATAAAACGTTGCACAAGAACATATTAAAACATAAAGTGGAAAAAGAAAGAAAGGAAGGGAAAAGACAAGGTAACTCACCATTTTATCTGTGTTTTTTTTCCCCACTTTTCTGACACAGGAAGTGAACCATTTTTTCCTTCTTTATCATTCTCCTTCTGCTTACTGCTCTCTGCTTTTTTCAACATATATCATTTCTGCCTGTTTCACAGACTATCAGTTGTAGCTGAAAGATCAAAACCTCTCTTTGAACATAGAACTTCCTTCAACAGAGATTCAACACAGAACCTCCTTTAACGGAATTTCATAGTTTTCTTCCTATGTTGATACATACATACACAAAATTGTAACCTTGGATATTAGACTTTTTCAGGTAGAGATCACAGTTGTCTGATTTTGTGAAGCGCAGAAAACAACAGCTACAAAATTTCACAATAAATACAAAAAAATGTACTGTGGAACAGTATTTAAGTACTGCAAGCCAGTGGCATGATAGCAAGGAGGCTGAAAAGGAAAAAAACTGGTTTTTTATTAAGATCATTAATAACATCCAAGTCAATCATTTCCTGACAGTTAACGACCAGATGGATTAAGACCCCCTCCGGATGGCTGTTAACTGCCAGGAAATAGCCAACTCATTGGCCATTGGTGCTTTAAACACCATTTGGATACTGCTTTTCATTAGTCATATTCACATGATGTTATTATGCACTAAGCGTCTGAGTGCAGTACAAAGCCTTACTTTCACAAAACGATAGAACAGAGTGTGGGTACAAAAACAACACAAACAGATGTGTTTCACTTATGCAGAACTATATTGCTCCTAGAACCAGAAGAATGTGATGATTATGGAAATCACTGAAGAGACAGTCATCATTGCAAGCTTCCACATACTAATCCACTTACATTCCTTCTCTTATGTCCAGGCTAGACCACCCCAAGGGGTGAAAGGTTAGTCTCCATGTCAAATCATCTCATGGTTTCCCTGCTAAGATGTTCAAAAAGTATGCGACTACTGAGATTAGGTTACTCAATCAACATTAACAGGACTAAGACAAAAATTCCAAAGCACAGAAAGAGCAATCATATGGTCTTTGGGTACACACACATATTAACACATTCAAAGAGAGACTAAAATATTTCTTTCAAACAATCTTTAGACACAGAGAACTACTGTTGTTTTCTTTTATCATGTGCCGTATATACATATAAATACTTCAATTACTGTTGATGAAAAAATTCTGTAGTAAGACTAACTGGCCAATCCATAATTAATCTGAGCTTGATTTATCATAAAGTCTCCAAAGTTGTAGATAGATCGTTACTCTATCTTTGAAAATATTTATCTGATTCTCCTTAAAAACATACATGCTAACAAACATCGTAACATCTATGAAGCGAAAAGTGAACTGCTTGTGAAGTTACAGGTAAAACAGGGGAAAAAAATCTGTTAATGTTATTTACAGAAGATAAAGCTAGTGAAGAGCTCAGAAGATTTTCTGCAAAATTAAACATCAGATACCCTCAAGGGTATCCCATTGTAACACACAAGTCTGAAGCTGAACCAAAGCTTACTCACTATGAGAAATCTGCTACATAACACTATAGGAGCTAAAGTTACTAGAACACTCAGGCTCTCTTTAGTCCTTGGTTCCAGCAAGGCCTTCTTGACAAGCTCTCACACACTACATATTTCATTTTCCTGAGCTTTGTGTCCTGAATATGCCAAAACTAGTTTCCATCACATGCTGCAGATGTGTTAAATTTGTGGAGAGGTCTTGTTCACACCACGACAAAGTTGTTCTCTTGAAAGGGAGGATTTTCTTATTACTTTCTTCCTTTTTATTTTCTGCTTTACATTACTACAGTAGATTATATCTTTAACATGTTTGCTGAGGTCTTCATAGCAGGGAGATGCAATTTAAAATAAGGCAGTTTATTTTTTTGTTGTTGTTTATAGCGGTGAAATGAATAACGCAAAAACTGCCCGAGATTCTGTGATGCTTTCTGAAAAGCAGAAAAGCACAGAGAAATCCAGGTCCCAGAAGGAATCATTCTAGCAGTGTCTGAAAACAGATGATTTATAAAGGACAGAAGAAGGAATTCTTAGTAATGTCAACATGAAAAAAATTAGCAATTCAATACACAGCTATTGTGGGCTATTAAATTGATCCAGCAATGAATGGGGAGGGCTATTCACGGTGCACACAAACAACTAAAGCTGGCAACAGACTGAGTAGCCAGGAAATATAATCCAAACACCTTAATATCACTTCTGTCATGCTGCCTATCTCCACAGACGTGATAAACCCACAGCACAGCACAGCATGCTATCACAGATCAGTGTTCTACTGACACAGTTCAGCCCCCAGCTGACACTTACCCATCTGTGATGAAAGATCCAGACTGCCTCTTCTGTACACAGAGGGCTGCTCCTAGGTGCGTGAGAGAAGACCCTGGATGATATGCAGAGGGCAAAATGCCACAGTTGGAGAGGGCAGGACTCCTTTTAATCCGTGCACTCTGCATTGATGTGCTAACATGAGAGTAATTTCATATATCAGAAGCTCAAAACAGGCTTCTTATTGTAGTATATAGCAACAACTTATCCCTCCCAGAAATACTTTCCAATTTTTCATCTAGTTACTTGTTCTAATGATTTCTAAGTATTTGTTCTTTATATTCCCCGCTAGGCCTGCTCTGGTGAGCAATCAGCTGGTTTACTCAAAGCTTGATTACCTCATCCCGTTTTTAGCAAACAAGAGTCCCTGCCAATTATGGGGTGCAGATGTCTTACAGAGATTAATGCCAAAGAAGTAGAAAATGCTCCTCTGTGCACAGGCAGGAGAAATGCCAGAAACTTTATTTTTATAATGAGGAACCATGACTTAGTTCCAACTTTGAACAATTCAGACATAATGTAATCAAGCTATATCTGCCTCAGGCAGACAGCACATAGAGAATATTCTCTTTCTTCATCTGGTGATGGCAAAATATCTACTGTCTTCAGTATGGCCATAATTTCACTCCAATGTTTTTCAGGTACATATACTTCGGAATACTAATAGGGGAAAACCTGACAATGATATTTTCACAGTTAATTTTATTGACAGTAACATAAACATGGTCTTGTGTATATTTTTGCTGTGTGACTGAGTATTCATATAAGGAAACCCATGTGAAGATATTTTACAAAGCAACAATCTGCAGTGCTATTGCAATAAAAGAGTGGTGCTGAAGAGAGCACTGTGGAGAACAAACTGGGAGATTGGGCTTTTTTTCTACAAAGAGTTCGTGATGTGTGGAGCGTTCCTTATTTTCCCCCTGTCTTGTGATACTTTTCAAGCATCTTTCCCCACTACTGGTCTGTTATAGATAAAAAAGTGGTTTAAAAAAAAAAGGAAAAAAAAAAAGGTAATCTTTTATTTTCTTGTTAGGAAGGAGGAAAAAAAAACACACTCAAACCCATCACATGGACTTACTACATTCCTGCCAGAAGGCAGTAAATGTCTACACTTCCAAAGTCATAAACTTCCTGTTTCAAAAATGAACTGCTTTTAATTCAGATCTATTAAACTTCACAGCATTGGTAACCCCTTCCTGTGTGTTATCTTTCCTTTAGGTCAGTCTCTTAAATTATTCAGCTCTCCTGCATGCTAGAGACCGAATCCTCGACCAATGAAACTACCCTTGCACTTAGGTATCTGCAATAAGGCTACGCTTTGATCAGAGCCTTCCTTTACCTACAGGATGAATGAAACTAATAAAAAATGTATCCTGCCCAAATGTTCATTTATTTGATCTTTAAGCAAGATCATCAAACAAACAAACCTGGTATAAGTAACCACCCTCCAATGGCCATTTGCCAAAGATGATCAAGGCCATACCACAATTCATGCTCTGCTTGTAGGCTGGGCAGCTGCTGTATTCCTTGTGTTGGTCCAAAGACATCCACTGAGAACAAGCATCTGATCTTAGAGAAAGAGCAAGGACACACAAAATCTGAGCAGTATGACAAGATCTGAGCCTGAGGATTTTTTTTTTAAATCTAGCTATAGATTGTGTAACAGGGGAGACCATAAAATCCATATTGAAAACGTAGCTATATTTGTAGCTACAGCTGCCAACCACTAAAACTTTTATTCAACAAACACATGAATTAAGATATTAGTGAAGGCTCCTACTTTCTATTGTACCCTGCTCATCAATATCCAGGAAACAAGACAGCAGAGAGTCATCTATATAAGAACTTGGTGCAAAAGCATGGTCTTATTCTCTAATGTATTATATAAAGAAATAGATGAAGTTGGATAGATCATGTCTGCCTAGAGAGGTAGGCAGCCAAAATGCTCTTCACCTATGTTAAAGCAACCTAATAAAGAGTACAGAAGACAGTCACCAAGGGTTCAACATACTGAATCTGCACATAGGGGCTTTCATCTGCTAAGACAAAATGTACCTTATCCCTATCTTGACAAGAAATAAAGGGCTATAAATAATAGCTATGGCAAATGTGATGCAAACAAATTCATGTTACCTTTGTTGCACAGCTTCTGAATAACATATTTTTTAAATATTCTAAAATATTGAATGTTTTTAAAGAATTCTTTACAGAAATCTTTAAAGAGCAGGAAACTCTTTTTATATAATACTTGTCTTACAAATAGCAAAATCTCTCTGAGGTTTCTCTGCAGAAATCCATTTAAAAATAATAGAGAATAACTGCCAACAATCTATCACCTTGGTCATAAAATGTTTCAAGTAGTTCATATAATAGAACATTATGGGTAGTCAAAACTCTCAGTTGCAGCAGAAAAGTTACCATTATCATTTAGCCACCATCAAATCTGGGAGTGCTAGCTTGAACAAAAACATTAAGAGGCCTCAGCTCTTCCCATACATTATATGTTTTCCCCATAGGCAAGGGAAGCATCACAGCTGCAGTGCAATGAGAAGCTTTGTGTTTAACTGTCGCATGTAAGAGAACTCACAGAAAAGTGGTAGTCACTTAATTAACGTTAGTGGTAAACATGTTATTTCAGTATGCATTCATCTTCCCCTCCCTCCCTCCCTCCATAGAGGTTATTCTTAATAAAGAGAATGAAGCCACAAAGTTGTGTATCTCTGCAAAGTAAATAAACAAGGTGAATATGAAGGAACTGTCTATAACTACCTTTTGTCATGCAGCAATGGTGCTGGGAAAGGGTTTACATCAGTGGCAATGCAATGCTCAATTTTAGGGAGTTATTAACTATTGATGACAAGTTAATAAACATTAATTCAGTACTCCTACTGAATTGGCAGAACAAATTGCAATGGCCTTATCAAGTATGAAAAATGCAAAAAGCCATGTGCGTTTTATAAAGTCAAAGAAACAATTACTTTCTGGCACTCCCATGACACTTGAGCTGAAAGTAGTGGCTGCCTTAAGTTGGAAACAAATAGTGGACTCTCGACTTGCTTAAGTTTATATAAGCTCTAGAACACTTCTCTGTGGTCCTCACTAAAATTGGCAGATAGTCAGAAAACCATAAGTGGAAAAAAAATGGTATCAGAAGTTTGGCTTTAAAGGAAAAATCAGGTAGTTTTCATGTTCTGCTAAGCCTACAAGACCTACTGTTTTCAGAAGGGAAGGAGGTGAAGAAGGCAGCAATCTTCTTCTTCATGATGATGCTGTCCTCAAACACATTTTTAGTAGCATCCTCCAAATTAACGTAAAGAATGGGAGCTCTTAAGCTTATGTGTAATCCTCATGGGAAATATTTTTAACTATATTCATTGTAGGGGCAACTGCAGCTCCAGTTCCATGCCAGTGCCTCTGAAAGTGTGTGGAAAATAGGCTCCAGCCTTATCTGACACTTAGATGTGAAGGAGGATGGCACATGCCCCCCCAGGCCAGGCACTGCTCCTTAGCACAGGAAGATACATTTGGCTGTAGTTCATCTCTCATGTGAAATGTGACAGGATGAATTGGTTTGGACAGTACTTTGAAGTAGCTTCAATAACAGCATCAGCAGAAATACAATTGTGGAAAGTGATCTGTGGAAAACTAGGTCTTGGTCCTAAGAACTGAGAGCCTGCCTGTTCTCTCAGCCTGTTCTGTCATATCATAGGGTAAAAAAAGGCAACTAAACCTCTCCTCTCTAATGGCACCAGAAACCAGCTTCACTTGATCAAAAGCAGACATCTGCATCCAAGCTGCTTCCTGAGGTTGACAGATCTAATTCAGCTTGACTGACAACTGAGACCTTTAAAATGGAGTGAAAATTTCCAAAAACCTTTCATATAGCATCAAGCCCATAACTATCCTAGAAAACACCCATCTGTGATCCTTGAAACATTCTTCTTCTTTATGTGAACATATACATGCTACATCTGGCATGAGGAACCATAAATCACCTCAGATTCTCCCAGATATTTTGGTATATTTGCTCACACAGACAGCAAATTTATACCAATGGCAGAAGAAAAACAGTTGTGGATGCATTAAGTGGAAGCATCAGCTATGAATAGCGTTTCCACTGTATTACTCTGAGTTCCTGATTCTGTACATCTTGAACTTGGCTGCACCGTCTATCCTCCAGCACTATGCACATTGTTTCTTCTTGACTGCTTTCTGTCAGAAGTGCAGGATGCATGGATGAAAAGAATGCAGCTAATACCACCCTTGAGTTATAGAAAATCCTTCATCCTCTATCTTACAAAATCTCACTTGCGAAATTAATGTGAACTGGTGAGCATTAAAAATGTCACAGAGTCTGAAAAACGACATGAACACAAACTTAGGACAGTGATAAATGGCTAAGTAAAGAGGCCATGGGAGACAGATAATGGAGGCTTTAGGGATTAATGTAAATCTGGTTTTATTTAAAGTACACATTTAGGATCAGGGAAAGTAGGAGGATATAAGATTCATGCGATTTGCCTCTGATCAAAAGCAAAGGATGAGAGCTTGGTGAAACCACACTATGGAGATCATACAATCTGTGTTGCTTTGCTTTGTTTTCTTTAAGTAACTTTCAACACACTTCTGGAGAAATGTTTGTATGCAAATCATAACATTTATTAACTTTTAAAAAATCTTCCTGAAGACCTGCTGCTAAATTCCTTTTGGAAATGCTGTTATTTAAGTTCCAAAAAAAAAAAAAAAAAAAAAAGGTGATAGGGATGGGATAACAAAAGCAATGCCAAAGACCAGAAGTGTCTAGTTGTTAATTGATGGGCCATTAAGAAACTGGAGGCACAGCTTTGGAAAAGGCCAACTTGGAATCTGTAGCCTCTAAGAAGATGGAATCATGCACAAAGATGGGAATCGTGCAACATTAGAGATTCCATAGCACAGAAGACATGAAAACATGTTGCAGTATATCCCACACTGCCTGGGCTCGTCAGCCTAATTTTCCATCTCTGGTCTCCTGAAACGGGAGGGTGGCTGTGCAGATACTGGCAGGTCTATCACAGCCTTACAGGCCTTTGCTCTTCTGAGAGATACAGGACACAGGCTGTAATGGTTCACAGCTACAGAGGATGCAATTAACTGCCCACAGACACAGCTGATGTGGAGACAGAGATGGGTTATTAGAGTCAACAGAAGGGAAGCCTGTTTCAACCGCATGAATGCATACACTGCAATTCATAGGATTTTAAAGCCACAAAAATGCTAAGAACAGCTTCAAGAGTAAGT